ACTTTTGAGTCTTTCCAGGGGTGAGGAGATGAGCTGGGGGTATGACTCCTTTTACTGACTTATGAAATAAACCCCACTGCTTCCCTGCCTTCTGTGGTGTCTGGGCCACTGATGAAGCCTTTGGGGGGACCTGTGGTGTTAGTGGATGTACTTCTGCCCCACTCTGCCTGGCCTACTAATGCTTGGTTCTCCACTCTCTGCTCTCAATGATGTTTCCACCAGTTCTCCAGCTTCCAGAATCTTGCTGACATCTTGCTGACTGCATTCACACCTCCTATTTTGATTATCCATTGATTTTGTGCCTTTTAATTCTTTCCCCCTAATTTGTTGTGACTTCCATAGGAAGTGGAGGTGGCAGTGTGTGTCCTTGCCCACATTGGCTGGGGGCTGGAGAGCCTGCCTTCTGCTGCACCAGCATTGCACCTGGTGCCGGGCTGTGCTCAGTGTGTGGGGGTTTCACTAAATGGATACAACTGACTTTATTTATTTATTTTTTAGTTTTTTAGGTGGACACATATCTTTATTTTATTTTTTTTATGTGGTGCTGAAAATCGAACTCAGTGCCTCATGCATGCTAGGTGAGCGCACTACCACTTGAGCCACATCCCCAGCCCCCACAACTGACTTTCAAAGAAGGAGTGACCATCTATGTCTTCTTACTTTTTTCTTCTTCAGAGGGATTTAAAAAAAAAATCAAATGCTGGATAGAAGCAGGTTGTCAGTAACCCTGAGGAAATAAAGACCACAGCCCTGGAAACCATCAGGTTTCAGCTCATGAGAAACTGATGACAAGGGGCACTTCAAAGCTAAGGATAGAGATTTTTGTCCTGAGTTCCCACAAGGGTGGACGATCTCCCAGTATCCCTTAGTAGGATGTGGGGCTTGAGATAGACTCCCTAGGGACCTGAGGCCAGGACCTATGTAGCCCTACTCAGGGACAGCAGTTCTCAGTACCGCCTGACCAGTAGAAAACAGACACCCTCAAGGTCACATGCCTGGGTTCTGCTCTGACATTCTGACTGGGGGCGGGGGTGGGGGGTGGGGAAGCAACATCAGAATTCCAAGCCAGCATCTAGAATGTGTGATTCCCACCCTGATGGTTGAGTTCCAAGCATTTATTCATTTAGTTCCTATTTGCTAAGTTCCTACTATGTGCCAGGCACCATTTTCTGGGACTGCAGGACCCTGTGGGGAACAGAACAGAGGAGGCCCTCTGTCAAGGAGCTCAGTCTAAAGGAGAGAAAAGGAATGGATGGGACATTTTAGCTTCAGATATCAATAAATGCTTGATGAAGATGGAGAGAATTTGAGGTGTGGACTGGCTGGAGGCAGGGGAGGTGGGTGCAGAGCGCTGGGCAGGGGCAGGTTTGGCTACAGAATAGCAAGCAGGCGAGGAAGGAGGAGGGGTTGCTGGAAGCCTGGAACATTAGCTCTCAGGAATGTCGACAGGTAATTTACTCATCTTCACAATCCATTTAGTGGGGGGTGGGTTTCATGTATGCAGAGGAACTGGCCTCCTGTCACTTAAGGACATCCAGAGCACACTGGAGCTCCCAGCCTGCTGCCCAAGCTCACCCCCTGTAGGAGGGAACAGCCCCCCCCCCCTGCCCCCCCCCCCCCCCCGTCTGTGACACTAATGGCTGTGAAGCGGCCCCTGCCATGGCCTTAATGCAATTCCACATTCTGCGTCAGAAGGCTCCAGCCTGCCTGAGTCACCAGGCTCCCAGGAGAGGACGCACAGAGCAGGGCCCACGCGGGGGCTGCAGTCCCCAGCCACACTCGGCTTCTCACCCAGTAGCACCGCTGGGAGATTAAACACATTCGCTTAGCGAAAGGCAGGGAAATAACTTCTTCTGATAACCAGCATCTGTTAGTTAATGGGCCTCTGAGAGCTGTATGCAATTTAAACTTTTTATTAAAAAAAAAAAAAGCTCATTTACTCTCCTGGGAGTTGGGCTATGAAATTATCAACTGCATGGGCTCCCCCCACCCCAAACGTGACTGCACATACAATGGAGAACATTAATTTTGTTTTGAATTAGGACTCTGGGCCTTCTTCCTTTCTGTGGATGCAGAGCTCCCTCCAGGTTTACATGGAGACTGAGACTCAGGGATGGGGGCAAAGGGTCTGGAGGCTGGGTGTCCACCCCTTGCCTCTGAAATGAGCCCTCATCCCTTGGCCCTGTCTGGGAGAATAGGGAGCCCTTTTTCCACCTCTGCACTTCCCAGGAGCCAACGGGGGCCAGAGAGTGTGGTCCAGTTGAGGATAGCCAGGAAGCGTCTCTCAATCAACCCACCTCTTGGGGCTATGGCTCCTGCCAGATTCCATGAAATACCACCCAATTGCTTTCCCCAAATACAGCAGGGAATCCCCTCTGGGAACCTGGGAACTGAGAAATGGAGGCCCAGATCTCTGGCTCTGGGGTCTAGCTGCTCAGGTTTAGATCCCTGGTCTTTCTTTACAGTGTGATCTTTGGCCAATGCCTTTCCTCTCTGAGCCTTCATGTCCTGTGCAAGATGCTGAGGATCAATCCCTTTGCCTGACTCAGGTGGGCCTCCTGAGTGATGTAGCACCTGCCCTGTGGTGGTGGCCTGTTCACAGGTCTCAGTGTGAGGCTGAGCCAGGATCACCAACCTTTTTTTTTAAAAAAAAATATTATTTTTGTTTCTTTGTTTTTATGTGGTGCTGAGGATCGAACACAGGGCCTCCCGCGTGCAAGGCAAGCACTCTACCACTGAGCTACCATCCCAGCCCCTGGATCACCAACCTTGTTAGCCATGTTTACTGAGGCTCCTTCCAGCAGGCTCCTGACCCACTGGAAAGATGGCCATACGTGGACTCTACCTTCCCCTGTGAGCTCACATTCTAGGCAGAGGAGGCAGAGAATAAGCATGAATAAATAAGACATTTCAGACAGTGGTCAGAGTGCATTATAGAGAATATAAAACAGAATGGTGGGACAATAGGTAGAAGGACAAGGGACAAGGGGGCTGCTCTTTTGGGATGCCAGTGGTGGGTGGGGGAGTGACATTTCATCCAAGAGATTTGAATGAAAGGAAAGAGCCAAACACCTGAGGGCTGGGAGAAGTGTTGACGGTGCACATGGATAAGGAAGCGGGCCAGCATGGCCGGGGTGTGGGAGCCATGCTGAGCCCTGCAGCGCCCCCTGAGTTGGAGCTGGAGCTTCCTTCCCTTCCTGGGGAGCTCCAGGCAGGGCAGGGATAGCAGGAGGGCACAGCTGGCCTAGCAGGAGTTCACCTTCACTGGCTGCTTCTTCACATGTTTTCTGGAAGGCACTCCACTTCCTTTCTTTAGAACCATAATCCCCTTGGTTGACTTTAATAACCAGCAAGAACATTTTTCAGGCTGTTTAATTTTATTAAAAGATTCAAATTTGATGATAAATAGTGGCATGGTTGCTTCAAGCCTCAGATACAAGACTTGCTCAGCCATGGACATATTATCGACACCCACTGTCATCCCCACCGGGAACTCCCCCCACCAAGTTGTAGTCGAAGACTGTAAATAATCTAATTATTTCTTGTACTTTGGTAAATATGCCAAGAACACCGTAGCTCTCTGAGACCCACACGGAATATTAACTTGGTGGTTTTTCTTTTTTCTTTTCTTTTTTTGAAAAGAAGAATGGATAATAAGTTAGAGCAATTTGAGCAGGCTGATTGAGACCCACACAATCTCAGGGAGGACAAGGGCTTCCCTCTAAAAGCATCGTTAGCCTCAGAGTGACTGTTGTTCAAAATCTGCAATAAGAGCCAGAGACAGGAACAGGGAAGAGGAAGGAGAGGGTGAATCAGCCGCACACAGTCCCCCAAACCCTTGAGCCCATCAGGATACCAGTTAATTTCACAGTGTACAGATGAGGCCCTGGGAACATAGGCAGGGTTCCTGAAGAGGCACAGCCTGTCCCCACCGTGATGATAGCCCTCTCTGAGCTGAGAAGGACACCAGTATATTAGCACCACAGCGAGGGAGCTGGGAGGGGCCGACTTTCCTGGGTCCTGGCCTCCATGTGTTGCCATGTAGCCTGGTGATGGCTGAGCTCCCCCTGGGGTGGTCTCAGAGCTGTGTACTCGGAGGTTCCCCCCCGTCAGTCTGGCACAGGGAATCTGGAAGGCCAAGGACAGCGGTGCAGGGCTAATTACAGAGCATGTTAGCGCTGCTGCTAGCATTAGTATTAATTACTCTCCAAAGACTGGAACGCTGCTCTCCTCCACAGACGTGCCCCCGGCATCCAGCCCAGTGTTCACTGGTGTTCTGCATGGGCGAGGGAGGCTCGGAGGCTAAAGCATACCAGGGGAGGCCACATTTCTCAGCTCAAATGGAGCCCTCTTTGCTTGCACGTGGCTCTGGAGAACTGGATTTATCCACACGAAGTGTTGACAGCTTGAGGTCTGACTCGCAGAAGCACAGGCAGATGCAGACAAATGCCAGCAGTCAGAACTCAAGAAAGACAAGTGGCCCCCTAAGAGACAGGCCCTTTGCCAGGAAGCTGAGAAGCTCTGGAAGCCCGAAGTGGCATCTTTAATTCATGGCCCCGCTTTGAGTTTGTATTGCTAAATTTGAATTAATAAACTTTCAACAACAGCCTGAAGGCTTAGCAGAGCAGTGAGCGGCACTGTCCCTAGGCACCATCTCAGGCTCTCGCTCCCATCTCAAAATCTCAAGGGCCAGGAAGGGAGGGGCAGGGAGCTCTTGGACAGTGAGCCTCAGGGTGGTCCTCTGGCTCCAGCCTGCTGGGAGACCATCCAAACAGGAGCATCGGTTTGTCTGAAAAGTCATGTAGCCACAAACTTGACCGCCATATCCCAAAGTGTGATCATTGGCCCCAACTTTGCAGGTGCCCTTGAGCTCATGTTTTGGGCCTCTGGGACACAGGCTGCCCTCTGAAGCCCTGGGGCCACGTGGCCACCACAACAGAGAAGTACTGGTCCTTCCGGAGGTGGCCGAGTCTAGAGAAAGTCTGGAAGTTAAGAGGATGTCATGGCCACTGGAGGAAGGCCAGCTCCGGGAGTAGGAGCAGCAGGGCGAGAGGGATGTCAGGAGGACACGGCCCCCCTCCACGGGGCTGCAGGGACCTGGGGGCGGCTCCAGCATGCCCCGTGCAGAGCACCAGGGGTGCCTGGTAGGAAGTGGGGCGCTTCTCTGGGGTGTCTGGACTTGACCCGTCGGTGGGCCTCTGTCCGATGAAGAGCAGGCTCTGCCCGCGGGGGTCTTGCTCCATCTTGAAAAGCTCGTACTCCACGTGGGGGAGCCTGATGCCCAGCGGCAGGCAGCCGTTGGTGACCGTGACGTCCCGCTCGGCACCCACAGACCAGGCCCCGGGGCCCCCGCAGCTGCTCGGCTCGGAGAGGTTGAGCATGGCCGCGGTGACCTGGTCCATGGGAGTCACATGGGCTCGCGTGACCTCGAACACCAGCTCGGTGGCGCCGTGGACCCTGGCAGACGGCGTGCCCCTGGAGTAGCGGCCGGCGGCGAAGACGGTGAAGGTGGGCCGGCGGCAGGCGGGGTCCGAGAAGTGGCGGTAGTACCCTTCCCAGGAGCGGCCAGCGCCGTGGAAGGTGAAGAGCCGCGTGAGGAAGAGCACAGCCGGGCGCGCCTCGCAGCCCGCGCTGGCCCAGCGGCCGCCCAGGCGCAGTGGCAGGGCCACCGGGGCGGGCAGCACGGGCGGGTGGCGCTCGTCAGCGCGCGCGATGAGCTGGCAGGCCGGGCAGGGCCGCGCGTGGTGCTGGCAGGGGAGGAACAGAGACCTCATTTGAGGACTTAATGACAAGGTGGGTGAGGCCTGGCCCCTCGGTGCTCAGCTCCCTCCCAACCTGCTTACCTCCTGCCAGAGGGTCTCACTGCTGACCTGTGGCACCAGTGAGCAGTCCCCTGCCCAGGATCTTAGCCTGCTGACTTTCCTACCGGGAGCTCCCAGGGGAAAAGTCTGCAGCTCTTCTGCAGGTTTCAACTCAGAAGAGGTCCCTGAGGGGTTTCTCCAGACCCAGCGAGCCCCTCCGAGGCTGTCCCCCTGTCCCCTTTTGTTCTCCTCTCCCTGCTACTTTCTCCTGCCTCCTCTGACCCTCTTCCTCCATGAGTAAGCACCAAAAAGCTGGGTCTGTCTCTTGTCCCCAGGGCCTAGCACAGTGCTTGGCTCACAGCAAACATGCTTGGTGCATGAATGAGCGAGAAACGCATGGAAGTCCCTGTGGGCCTTGTGTCTTGGGGTTTAGAAGAAGCTGTCTCCTTCACACCCAGCCCCTGAAATGGGACCACTGATGCCCATCTTGTTTCTCACTCCTGGCTCTTCGAGGCTAGAGCTATGCTAAATGGCTCCTGCAACCACTGCACAGGAAACCAGAGGCAACTGAGACCTAGAGGGTGGGCGGGGAGGGGTCTGCTCCAGCTGCCCTGGCAGGAAGGGGTAGAGCTGAGCTGAAACACAGCCCCGCACAACTTGCTTGTCTGGGTCTACCTCAGTGTAGTTTGTATCTCCTCATGAGGAAAGAGTACTTTTGTCTTTAGAGATCTCACCTTGGAAGGTGAGCACCCTTCCATCACCCCTTGGACAGCGAATGTGGCAACCAAGTTCAGAAGCCACAGCTGTGCTTAGGAACCCTCATACTGGAGGTGGTGCCAGGGGGGTAACTGGGAAGTCATCAAGAGCTGCTCAGAGATGTTCATTCCCGTGCAATTTTCAGTGGGAAAACCAGTCACACCAAGTTTTCAGCCCTCTGTTGCCCCAGGCCATGAACTGATTTCCTCTCTAAGGTCTTATTTACAGTTGTCCAGCCTTACAGATTCTCCAGAGGTTGGTTTACAGTAAAACACGTCAACAGGAAACAGACGCTAAATCAAATTGTGTGGGAGTAGTCAGTCTGAATTTTGGAGCGAAAAAGCTCAGTAGAGGCCAAAAAGGAACCAGATACACATATCTTCTTTTTTCTTAAAGGGAGCTGCCCGAATTTAGCCAAGAGCATCATTCTGAAAGGTCAATGGCTTTGGATCAGCCACTTGTCAAAGCTGACCAGGGAACTAGCAAACACTTTTTTGCTAGTTCCTAAGGGAACTTGGGGTCTGGGTCCAAGGGAAAGGGGGCATTTTGAGGACCTAGCTATGAAGTTAGCTTTAGTATATATTTTCATGCGAAAACCCTGAAAGATTCCTACACATTACAGTTGGGTGAGTTTCATGCCAACCAAGTGGCATAGGGAAGTTCTGGTTTAGAAAGAAAATACCAGATGACTGAGGGCCAGGGCTCTTCTTGTTTTGGATTGCCATACTTTAAAAGCTATTACTTAATCCTTATTGAACCCAAACTTTCCCTGGTTTCCATAATATAGGAGACTATACCATTTTTGGCTTGGGGGATTTTTTTGGGGGGCACTGGGGATTGAACTCAGGGCACTCAACCACTGAGCCATATCCCCAGCCCCATTTTGTATTTTATTTAGAGACAGGGTCTCACTGAGTTGCTTAGCACCTTGCCATTGCTGAGGCTGACTTTGAACTTGTGATCCTCGTGCTTCAGCCACCCCCCCCCCCCCCCCCCCCCCCCCCCCCCCCCAGCTGCTGGGATTACAGGTGTGCACCACTGTGCCTGCCTTGGCTTGGGGGATTATATATATATATATATATATATATATATCTCAGATGTTGATGGACCTTTATTTTATTCATTTATTTATATGTGGTGCTGAGAATTGAATCCAGGGCTTCACACATGCTAGGCAAGTGCTCTACCACTGAGCCACAACTCCAGCCCAGCTTGGGGGATTTTGACTCAGAGTTTGAAGACACTTTGAAAAGCTAGGACATGACTGCAAAAATGTTTGCAACAGAAAAAAGCAAATACAAGAGTTAGCCTGAGTGTTGGTTATTGGGATGCTGACTGCTAAGTCTCTACTCTAATTGAGGCATTTTAACCTGAATTCCAACTTTTGTCACACTAATGTACATTGACAGGACATAATGCTTTACATCAAAATAATCCCAGAGCTGCCCCCCCACGGGGGTAGGTGGGGGTGCTAATTGGCAGAGACAAATTGAGAGTCAGCAAGCTTTCAAGGTGAGAGAGCTGAACGATAAGGCATTTCTTCCGTGGGAGATGTTGAAGGGTCCTGTCCCCCATAGACCATTTCCCAGACATCCTTCTGCAGTGCTCTGGAGTCTCACGTGTTAATATACAAGGCCCCCAGCCAGCAGAATCCACACTTGTGCGGAAGCCAAACTCTTACTGGCCTGTGCCTGTTACATAAAGTTATTTCTCAAACAGCACATAACAGTTTCTAATTAACCCCCAGAGGTGACACCAGGCTCAGATGATTTTGGTTGAGTGTTGGCTGATTGATTAGGATTCTATATACAGGCAATGAATTTGGGGATCAAATTGGTTTTAAATTAACTTCTAAAAATGTTCATGTTTACCATCTGGTTTGGGTTGTGGGCAAGGCTCAGGCCCCAGAGAGCATAAGGTAATGACTAATTCGTTATTTGGGGATTTATCTGCAGCATTTCCTTATTTGAAATTGTCTCCCCCCTCAGAAGGGGGCTTGGTGAGCGGACATTTAATTTTATGCCTGTACATCTGGCACTGTTCGGCAGTGCCCACGTTTCTGTGTCTTGCTTCTCAATCACATTTCAGGCTGCATGGGCCACCAGGACTGGCCAGGCAGCAGGGAGGGCAGGGACAGCAATGGCCCCAGAAGTCTGCCTGGGGCCAGGTGAACTGGTTAGCCCCTGTAGCCCTCAGGGGTCTGCCTTTTCCCTCTTGATGGTGGCGGGGGGAGGCAGCAAGCCACTCGCCGCCTTGCCCTGGTTTGCTAAGTGGGATTGAGCGGAGCAGTCTGGAACATTGGTGGCCAAAAAGGGAATGATTTTGAGGTCACTCGAGGAACTCTGAGGCTGATTTTCTGATTACGAGAATTTTGTTGGGTTCCTTCTCTGCTCCCCAGATCCTGGGTTTGGGGGAGGGGGTGAAAGAGAGATGGGAGAGTAGCTGGATTTGGGGTCTGTCTCATCCCCAGGGCCACCCCTGGGGACTCTGATAAACTGTTGTTCCCAGGGGTGAGAGGTTTCCCCATCTAGTTTAGTTCCTTGAGTGTCAAATACACAGTAAGCACTCAGTATATGCTAAATGATGTGAGGGTGGCCTAAGAGTTCAAAGGGTACTTGGCAGGGATGCTGAGCTCCTCCATCCTCCCCTCCCTCTTCATCTGCACTTTCAGAAAATGCTGAGTGCCTTGGACCGAAGTTCCTGACCCAGTGTCCTATACTAATTTCACATCCACTAACTTTTAACCTTTCTTCTTGTTGTGAATGTAGGCAGCAAACCCCAGTAGCATCTGCTGAACCTCTGTCACCAATGTCCCTCGATCAGTGTCACAGATACAGAAAGTATCATTGACATCCATCACTGCTCAGGCATGAGGGTGAAGAAAGAATTCCTGTTCTTCGTGCTCCCGTGCCACACATTCGGGTTTTAAGATTGGGGAACTATTTTAATGGGGTGGGTTTCCATTTAAATCAGGTGCATTTCATCTTGTGTTTTTAAAGACAGTTTTTTGGGGGGAGAGAAGCTTAGGATTCACCTGCACCAGAGAGGTGGATCTTGGAGACAGAAAAGGTCACAAGGACCACCCTTGTACTGGCTATGTGCCAGGAATACATAATGCAATTAAGATTAACTTTCTTTCTGTTTGATTATCAGGTCAAAAAAAAGGCTACTAAGACTTCTCCAAATTAGGGCGGCACCTTTGAAATGGCTTCCTTTATAATCTATGTTGATGGGCTTCAGGGAAGTTCACTCTGGAGTTGGGGCTGCATCTCACAGAAATCAGTTCATTTTAGACTGGGCCTCCCCACCCAGAATGCAGACCATGAGGATGCATGTTAGAAACATAGGACCCCAGACCCTGCCCAACCTTCACTCTCTCAGATGCCCAGATCCGGGGGGCAATATTGTTGCAACTCCACCTAAAGTTAGCGTGAGGGGGTGTGTCTGTGGCTCTGCTTCCAGGTCCAGGGAGAGGTCTACAATGAGATCCTGAGGGTGGCATCCAGAGGGTACGCAGCAGCCCCAGGAGGAAAGGGGAAAAGATGCCCCTTCGGTTTATTCCTGAGCATCTGTTGGCCAGACTCTGTGCTTTGGCCCCACCCTTGTGAAGCGTTTTGTGCCACAGTGAAGAGGCAAAGGAGAAGGGGAGAAGGGCCAGCAGAGCTCCGGGTTGTGCTCTGTGCTGGAAAATATGTGAAGTGGGGATTGGAAGGGACATTTGAGCTGAGAAAACCCACCCAGTAAGGATAGAAATGAGATCAGCAGGGCCCGTGAGGACCAAGTCTGGAGTGCAGGGACTGTGGAAGACCAGACAGGGAAGACTGAACACGTGTCCTTCTGGAAATAGCCAATGGCCTTGTGAAGGCCTGGAAAGAGAAGTCTCAAGCAGGGGCCATGGCATATCCAAATTCCTGAAGCCAGGGTCAATAATGGGCACTGATGAGACAGGGCAGAAAGGACCTTTGGTAGAGACTAGGTCATGTAGGGCCTTCTGGGTGGGCCCAAAGTTCCCCGCCCAGGGCCCCAGACTCACCAGGGCACTCTGCAGTGGGCGCTGGTAGCCGGTGGGCCTGTAGTAATGCCTCTCCGCCCAGGTGGTGTGGACGTCCCCCAGGTACAGTTCCTCCACAAGCTGGGGTGCAGCCCGGGGCTGTGGTTGCAGGCTGCGTTGCACACGGACCAGGCTGAGCTCATGCATGCTGAAGCCCAGTGCTACCATGCAGTCCCCCTGGGTCCGGGTGCTCAGCAGCTCATACAGTGCCCCTGGCAGCCAGGCCTGGGCTGGGGGCAGCCTCCCCATGCAATCCTGGATGGCTTGGGTCTGATTGAGGTGCCTGATGACATCGAGCAGGGCACGGTGGCTGTGGAAGGCGATGCCCACCTTGTGCAGGTGGTAGTCGGCCTCGGTGGCACCCCGAGTGACCCAGGAGGCCCTGCGCAGGCGGACTTTGCCCTTGATGAGCAGAGAGTGGGTTGGCTGCTGGCAGGAGGCATCTCCATAGTAGAACTGGTAGGCCCGGAAGAGGCGGTTGGGATAGAAGGTGTAGGAGCGGGTGAGGAACTCTGGGCCTGGTCGCACCTCACAGCTGCCGTGGGGAGGAGATGGGTGCTGGGTGGAGAGGTGAGAACGCGTCCTGGGGCCCTCTGTCCTCTGGGCTGGGCTTGGCCTCCCCAACCTCCACTTCTGGCCTGGCCCCCACAACCTCAGTTTCCCTGGCTTGTTTGGGTCAGCCTTACTGCTGGGGTGAGTTAGGACCTTCCACCCACTGTCAGGTGGCCTCCACAGGATCTTTCTAGTTCCTCTTTCATTCTAACCTCAGGCCTAACAACAGGGGGCTTTTGCAACCACCTCGGGACCTGCTGCTCTGTGAGGTCTGGGAGGCTGTGTCCTGTTTCTTCCCAGTGAGCTCCGGCACCCCCACCCTGTGTCCTGGCCAGTGAATGAGAGGTTCAGGAACAAGTGATCAGACAATACATAGCTTCGATTTGGTGGGCCAGATGGTTCTGTGGCAGCCACTTAAGACTGCAGTTGTAGAGCTAAAGCAGATGTAGATATCATGGAAGTGCATTGGCCTGGTTGTGTGCCAATAAAACTTTCTTTACAGAAGCAGGTGGTGGGTAGGCCTTGGCCCCCAGGCTCAATTCTACTGGTGATGCAAACAAGTTCAGAGTGGAAGGGTAGGAAAGGAAAGCCACCTGGCTCCCAGACCCACCGCCATGCCCCCGGCTGGGCAGGGTAGGCTTCTGGGACTTCCCCACTGGGGCTCAGGTGGGGCAATGGGTGGATGTAAACCACTCAACTGGAATCCAACCCGTGCCCCTGTTTTCTTGGTATTTTATAACGGGGCTGTTGGAGCAGAAGAAATATGTTGTCACCCAGCAAGAAAACGGTTTCCCTTTCTTTTCTTTCAATCTTTCTGCTACTATCAAGGATAAAGGAGCTGGCGTGACTTTAACACCAACCTCTTTTTTTTTTTTTTTTTTCCCAGTGAGGAACAGACTTGGAGCCTTAGGTAGGCCATGAATCTAGAGCAAATCTAATTATGTTGTTTTGTTTCATTGAGTTTCTTTTTACAGTTACTTCTTATTTATGGCAAGTGGCTCTGTTCTTCATATAGGGGTGATATTGTGCTTCCTTTAAAAATAATTATATTAGACTGTAAATGTGTGCAGTTTACTGTATGCCAATTATACCTCAATAAAGCTGTAAAAATGAATGATTATGTTTAAGTAAATAAAGGGAGTTGGTTTAAAGAAAAATAGCAAATGAGTACCAAAACAGGTGGTAGTTAAAGATGGGGAGGGGCGCCCACACCTCAAGGGCCACTGACGAGGCCTGGGGAGTGGAGAGATTTGCTCAAGGGATGCAGCAGGTCACACTGGATGTCTTGGTGGTCCCAGACTCCAGAATCTTTTCCACATTCCTCCCAGAAAGCAACAGGGCTTGCCTTGAGAACAGATCAGGGAACTTTCTAGGAAGAAAGTTCTGGAAGAAATTCTAGAATCTGTTTTCTGACTCATCCCTTGGGTTCTCCTATGTCCCCTCCCCATTCCTTGGTTCGGCTTTAGAGTGGCCTTGACAGTGTTGCCTGGACCCCACCTGGACTAGGGAGGGCGGAGGAGCCAGCCCCGGAAAAGCCTGGGAAGAGTTTGAGTGGCTTTGTGGAACTCCCAAGGCTCCTTCCCCGCAAAGCACTACCAGATGTTTGGCAGTGGGGTTTCTCCATGAGCTCAGGAGGCATATGGAGGACACAGAGAGTCCAGTCCTTGACCCCAGAATGGGACTGACCAGGGGGCACATCAGGAGGGATGTAGGAGGAGGAGGCCACAGCTGTCCTACTTTCTACCCCAGCCCTGGGATCGGGGAGCTCAGCTGGCTGCAGCAGGTTTGTGGGCCACAGATGAGGGCCCAGTACAGAGTCCAGGGCTTCAGAGTGGCCACCAGCCTCTGAAACGTCAGTGGAGCCTGTCGGTGAGGAGACCAGCATGGGAACACCAGGCTCTCTGGCCTGCCACTTCCGGCCTCAGGGCCTTTGCCCCAGCTGTGCCCTCTGCTGGGCTTCTCTCTGGCTCTCTGGAGGGCAGACTCCTTTTCTTTCAGCTCTCAGCAGAATATCACCCCCTATAGAAGGCTTCCAGGTCATTTGCTTTACATCCTTGGTTTTATTTCCTTTGCTGCAGATCTCGGCACCATCTCAAGTTGCTATCAATTGTTTCTGTTTGGATACTCAGCACATGCCCCACTGCTGAGCCCTTGTGCCCAGCTCACAACAGGAACTCTCTAAGTATCTGGATAATGGGGCTCCATGTGTTGAATTAATGCATCTCCCGTCCTGCTGTCATTGGCAGGGGTGTGATGGTGTGATGTCCCAACAGTCCCTGCCCCCAGGTGCCATCTGCAGAGGGGAGGTAAAGCCATGTGCTTAGCACCTACCAGACCTCTTGGGAACTGGGTACACTGTGTGCACACATATGGACACTGAGGCTCGGAGAAGAAGTCCCTCAGCCTAGGGGTCTGTGAGGACTTGGGGGTCTCACCCAGTGGAGATCCAGGGGCCATCAAGGCGGGGGGGCAGAACTGCAGTGATGGGCATGCCTTCAGGCGTGGGTGGCTGGCAAGGGGGCTCCCAGTGTAGGTGGCCACTTCTTACTTCCCCGGTCACTTCTCTGGTGCCAGCTGCAAACCAGACAGATCTGGATCAGAGATGTGTACACCCCAGATATACCATCTGCCTTCCCTACTCTCCACCTCCACCCAGGGCTGTAGCTTGGGAGGCCAGAGGAAGCCCCATAGCCTGCCTGCACCTCTACCTCATTCCCCAGGGTGACCATTCCCTTTTCCCTGCCCATACCTCCACCTTGTCCACCAGGTTGTCCAGCACCCCTTAGACTGCCCCCAGTTCTGGAGGTACTCTGCATGTTGGAATTCCTAGAATCAGTTTTCTGACTCATCCCTTGGATTCCCAGTTGTGACCACCCTGGAATGCAGGCCTCCTTGAGGGAGGCTGGCCCAGATTCTTGGGCTGGAAAGCCTCTGAAAATTCGGCTCTGGGATCCAGACTCCTAGAAGCCCTGCCCTTCTGCAGGCCCCCTCCTGGGCAGTACTGGAGAAGGAGGACTGAGATCTGAGGAGCAAGGGCAGTGGGACCTCAGTCCTCCCCCAGAGCAGACCTCACTGAGGAACCCAGGTTCTGCTCCACCTCTCCAGCCTTGCTGCCCACACCAGGCCACTTATTCCCTGTCCTGTTCCAGTGCCAGGTCTTTGGTTTGTCCATCTCTATCTGTGGGACCTACACCAGTGCCAGCTTGCTGGGTGGGTGGTGAATGAGTGTGGGCCTGGCCCACCAGCAGAGGCCCAGTGCCCATGTAGAAGGCCACCTTGCAGCCTCCTCCCTAAGCCTAGGCAGGAATTAAAATGTCTTAGAAGGAGGTGGTCAGAGGGTGGTTGTGAGCAGCAGAGTCACTGCACTGGGCTCCAGGTCCTCTTGGGGAACCCCCCATGTGCTCTGCCCTGACCCTGCAACAATTGAGCCAGGGCGTGGGATGGCTACTATGATTTCCAGGAGTTGTTATGAGGTGCACCCAGGACCTTCAGCTGCTAAAGAGCAGCAAGTCCCTCAGAAACTGTCATCCTCACTCAGAGGCTGAGGCAACCCAGATGGCGGGATGCTGTGGGAAGCTTGGCAGGAGCAACATCCGAGCATTGCAGCATCGGGCTGTGCTCATGGGGCCCGACCCTGGCCAACCGGCTGCTGCAGCTGCTGTCCTGTCTTGTCCTCCTCTGAGCAGTGGCTAAAGTGGGTCAGGAGCAGCTGAGTCTCCAGGGCTTCAGCCCAGGGGTGAGACTTTGCCAGGCAGGGCCCTGGGAAGGGTCATGAGCTGAGAGGTGCCTGGTCAGCACATTCTGCCCTCTTCCCTGTGAGTGTTTGTACTTTCCCATCTGGGTTTGGGGGGCCACGAGGCCCCACACTGCCCTCTTGGAGCTATGTGATTGGAAACAGGGGCCCCAGGCTTGCCGTGCCCTGGTGACCTCTCAGAAAAATGAAGTGGACCAAATTCCTCTGCCCCCGGGAGGTTGGGAGTCCCAGTCAGGGTCCATGGGGTCCCCAGTGCCCAGCTGAGAAAGCAGAAGTCAGGCTGCTGATGACAGGGACGATGACAACAAGGGTGGACTTCACGCACGTGCGCACATCATCCGGTCTGAGCTTCACGGTCCCCAGAAGAGCCAGAGTGTGGTCCTTCTCCTTGAGCAGGCCAACGGGCTCATCCAGATGGGCCCAGCAAGATGGGGATTGTGACACTCACGTGTGACAAAGCCAGGACCCACACACAATGTTCTCCTGGTCAACCGGCCCCTCGGTTTCAATCAGCCAAGCTGGAGAAATGGAAGAAAAGAGCCAACCCAGGCCAAGGTGTCCTCCCACGGACATGTTGTGAGAGTACCCGGGGCTGCTCAAGGCAGCAGAGCAAAGGCCTTGGAAGAGAGAAGCTGGCTGCTTTGCGTGGCCCTGGTACAAGGCTGACGTGCCGAGGGGAGCCCGAGCCAGGATGTGGGGGCCAGTTAGGCATCCACATTGGCCCTGTCCCAGTGTCACCCCCACCCCCCAGCCTGCACTGGGACAGGCTGCCTCAAGGTCGGCACCTCGAAGGTTTGGGTGCGTCTTCATTGGAAGACGCCGGGTCCCCCGGATTCAATTCTGCAGGTTAATTTGAACATCACCGGTGTCAATGAAACCTGTCTGCAAGTGTTGATTTGAAGAACAGATGGAAGCAAGGCGAAGAAAAGGATCAGGAGGGGTCAGCCCGACTCGCCTGGTAGGAAAACCGAGCTTGCATCTCGGAGCGAAAGAGCGGGTGGCCCTGCAAATTATATTTTCATTGTTTCATGAAAATCGGTGTCTTGAGAAAATGCTTTCTGTTCCAAAGAAAACAAGCCTCCCCCGACCCCGCACCCCTCCTGAAGGTACCAACGCCGTTTTGTCACGAATCCTCAGATACTGTGTTCCCACTAGCCGCGTTTTGGTTCCTCTTGTTTTTCTGGGAGAAATTAGGATTTAATTATGTTAGCAGATTGTGAGATACAGTCAAGCCTCGCTGTCTTCAGAACACGCACACACAGCACAGGACACGACCGTGGACCTTCTTTGTGAAAACACCCGGGCCAAGCACAAAGCCGCCTCTTGGCCGCGGGCGAAGCCTCGACTTCAAGGTTGCAGAGATAAGCTTAACCAATTAGCAATGACTCCGTGACATTAGCTCAGTTGCAGCTTTTGGGGTGGACTTTGATTTTCTTTTCTTTCTCTCCCCCCTCCCTTTCTCTCTCCCACAGAAAAGTCCTAACTAGATAAACAACTGGAGGCAGATGAGCTGGGGCTGGGCTGCGCAACTTCTTGCAAGGACCTGATAGACGGAGTTAAACACAGGGACCAAATTGATTTTTATCAACCATGGATTTTTAATTAACAGTGGTGTCCACTTACTGCCATTCATTATTTACTGTTTACTCACTAATTAAAAATTATGCTGCTCTTGCACTCATAAGAGCAGGGACATTTGAAATTAGATAGCATCGTTCAAATTACCTGCAGAATTAAATCTAGAGTGCCCAATTGCTCAGACCAGACTCCCAGAGCTGAAAATATGATCTGCTGTGGTCCACTGTGTGGTCGTGAGTCATAGCACCAGGGAAAGGCCACTTGGACATATGGAATCTGCCTAGGGATTCAGGGTTGCGGACACTTGCTGAGCTCCTACTGGGTACCGGTGCTTGGCTAAGCTTATCACCAGGGCATCATCACCATGGTGACCGAGTCTACCAAGCATGTACCGTGGGAGTCGCCTTGGTCAGAGGCTGTTTCTGCGTCATGGCCATGACCCCTCCAGCAGTCCCAAGGCAGGTGGCGTGTCGACACACGAATGCGATGCTGTATGGAACAACGGATCTGCACAGCCACCCACCACGTGGGTCTGTTGATGCCCCCTGGTACAGACGAGGAAACAGAGGTTCAAAAGGGTGGGAGGACTCGGCTGTGGTCACTCCTCGGGCAGCTGCTTCTTGGACAATTAAAGAATGCAGCAAATCACATCTAACATAAAATTCACCACTTTGACCATCTGCAGGAGTATACTTCAGTAGCATTTAGTACATTCCCCACACTCTGCAACCACCGTCTCGGTCTAACCCAGAACCTTCCTATCCCCTGAAAGGAGGCCCACACAGCAAGCACTCCCATGTCCCTCTCCCCATGGACCATGGCAACAGCATGGTTGCCACGGACTGGCCTGTTTGTACAGGCCCTCCTCTTACTTGCCGTTCACAGCGATGCTGGCAGGTCAATGTAGTCATCCCCCTGCTACAGAGGCACCCAGAAGGCTTGGAAAGCCACGCCCTGTCCAGGTCCTCTGTTGGGTTTCCTCCCAAGACCTGAAAGCAGGAGGCTTGGCTCAGGCAGGGTGGAGGGCGAAGGGTGGAGTGGGGTCCCTCCCTGAGCAGACGCAGAAAGATCAGCTCTTCGGTTGCCTTCCTTTTGGGGGCAAAATGGCATAAAAGAACCATTGCCCCCTGTCCTAACAGGTTGGGGCTGAGGTTGGAGAAGTGCAGCTCATGGGAGGGGGTGGGCGAAGGGGTTTAGGTGCCACCCCGATTCCTTCACACCCCCGTGGCTACGCGCCCACTTCCAGGCTGTTAGAAAAGCTGCTGTGCAGAGCCCACGTTACTGAGCTTGGAAAGGGGGTCCTCTGAAGGGGACTTTCAAATGTTAAGTAATATTTTAAAAAAACCATTTCATAAATCAATGTGTGAGTGGTGGATGTGGGAAGCAGCCTGAGGGCATCGCAGAGGAAGAGGGAGCCGAGGGAGTAGCCCTTACTTCCCAGGAGAGCACAGGACAGCCTGTGAGTCCCTGGAGCTACTATGACAAATGACCACAAACTGGTGTAAACAATAGGAATTCCTCTTCTCTGGCCTGGTGTGTGGAAGTCTAAGTTCTGAAACCCACGCGGGCAGGGCTGCCCTCCCTTCACCGCTGCCTGGGGAGGGTGCTTCCCGCCTCTTCCAGCTCTGGGTGGCACCTCCTTCTGGTCTCCGCCTGTCTTCCCACTCTGTGTGTCTCCTCCTGTCCACATCTCCATATCTAGTCTCCCTCTCCTTTCTCATGAAAAGGCACCACTCACTGGTCAGACCCACGGGTTCAGCACAACCTCGTTCTACCTTGATTGCCTCTGCAAAGACCCGGTTTCCACATAAGGCCACACTCTCAGGAGGTGGGGGGTCAGGTCTTAAACACGTCTTTTTTGTTCAAGCTCAACCCCCCACAGCTAGGGAGGGCCATCTAAAGACGGGGACCCTCCCGTCACCTAGCCTGCTTTCCCTCACCCCTCTGCTCACACACTGCACACCTACCTCTGGTTTACTCTACTCCTGGTACCTGACAGGCTCTGGATTTATAAGGCTGCCCACAATGGCCAGAACTCTTATTCTGTTAGGGAAGCTGACATTAAATAGGCCCATCGTGGGATACCGTCTCACACCATCTGAGGGTCTTGAAGGAGATTCATGCAACAACCTCAAACTTCTGTGGGTCCCAGCATACTTGGAGTCCCATTCAAGCTTTCCCAAGAGCCTAGTAGGCCCTTTGGAATCAGTTACCTCCTGTCTTTCTTGTCATCCAGCGGGCACTGCTGAGAGTCTTCCCTATGGCTTCCCAGAGATGACCTGGGGACTCCCTCTGCCAAGCACTGGGTGCTCCTTCTGCCTCCCAAGCATTTCCTGGCAAATGGCCCCCTGCACTTCTCTCCTGCTCTGCTCCACCCCCCTCTCCTGTGCAGTGTGTACCACATCTGGCAATTATTGATCTGCTTTCAGTTTTTTGTTTACTTTTATTTTTTGACTTTTCGTTTTGAAATAATTTCAGACTTAC